GGATCAGCTAGCCCGATGTGAGAGAGCATCCGCTTCCAGGTCCTCCGAGAAAGCTAGTGCTGCCACTTTCGCTGCTCTCCGAGAAGCTGCGGACCGCCCCTTGGCCCGTCGTATGGATGAGCTGTCCCGCAAAGGCCCCTCTTCCTGGCTCACTGCTCTTCCTCTCAAGGAACATGGGTTCCACCTCTCGAAGCAGGAGTTCAGGGACGGCCTTGCATTGCGGTATGACTGGCCTCTCCTCGATGTCCCCACGCAGTGTGCCTGCGGAGTTCTGTTCTGCACGTCTCATGCCATGTGTTGCCCCCGGGGTGGCTTCCCTACAATCCGCCATAACGAAGTCTGTGACATGGTAGGGGAGCTGCTCACGGAGGTGTGCCACGCAGTGGCAATCAAGCCTCAGCTAGCCCCACTCTCTGGAGAGGTGTTTACGGCTGCATCGGCAAACACCGCCAAGGATGTCCGCGCTGATGTCCGTGCCCGTGGCTTCTGGACCTGAGCACAGGATGCTTTCTTTGACGTACGCGTCTTCCATCCTGATGCGGCATCCTACTCGGCCCAACCACTGGATGCCCTACTGCTTCAACACGAGCGCCAGAAGAAGCTGCAACATTCAGCCCGCTGGTGTTGTCAACTTCTGGTGTTGCCTCCCCTGAATGTGAAAAGGTTCCTTAAGCGCCTCTGTGGCTTGCTTGCCAGGGCTGATTCCAGCATGCCCTATGCACACCATGTTGCATCTGTGCACTGCAGGCTGTCTTTCGCGCTGCGCCGGTCCGCTGTCATGTGTGTCCGTGGGTCTCGGTCGGCATACTATCGTCCGGCTAACGAGCTCAGGGAGCTGGCGGTGGTTGAAAGCCGGATCTAAAACCAGTTGTGTTTTTGTGTAAAACTCTCGCCACTCCGGAGACATATTATCCACACCTGTGTACTATTATTAATATTATCTTCCTATCATACCCTGGTTTCTCATCATTGTGTTGCTTTTGCCCGTAAAAGAGGCTGTTTCACAAATCAAATAAAAAACAATGTAAACAATTCTACTTGTATAAAGTACAATTCACAAGATGTTCTGCTCGTGAACATGTCGTGGTACTATCTACGAACACGCATAGCAATCAATGGACAGTCGAATGTCACTTATCCGACCACTTCGGGAATCAGGCATGTTGGATAACTGGATATGTTGGATAACTGATATCATTTTTTATTTGCATATATGGCTGGATTTCACTGATTTATGTACACAATACCCAAATGAGCAAGCACACGCGAAAATCACCCTTAGTGACATATTTTCAGAAACTGAGATGACAGTGGATAAAAAGGCAGATGGATTTAGGCAGAATTCAATGCAAAAAACGTTTGAAAAAATCTTGAGTAAAACTTGAGTTACGGGTCTTAGAAGATAGAGCATTTTCCCTGATATATCGCACATCACACGAAAACAGAGAATGTTTGAAGTGCGTTTTCTCAGTTTGAAGTGCGTGTCAAGGTCGATTTTCGCATGCGCTGGCTCAAATATATTCATGCATATTCATGGATTGCTCCATGTACACATACATGAAAGGAAGTGATAGCTCTGGCAGAAAGAAAGCGTATAGCCAGATGCACCGGTAAGGACCAAGAATACAAGGATCTGTTGCTAGAAGGGCGTCAAAGGATTCGCTGTGACAGGAGAAAGTGGTTAGAGGATAAATGTAGACACATTGAATCTTCTGGGAGGAACCATGATGTCCGAGAGGTATTCAACAACATCCATTAAAATATCATCGTTCCGGCCAAATCAAGCATGTATCAATGCTGCTGATGGCACGACCCTGACGGAGAAGGAAGATGTATTGCTGCGGTGGTGTGAATATGGGCAGCAGCTATTTGGGCAGCCGTCAGGAGATCAAGAGTGTTCGGCCTCGGCGGAGAATGGTGCGGAAGAGCTTTCATTGCCACTGATTACCCCTGAGCCTGTGCCTCTCTTGGCTGAGGTTGAGCAAGCCATATTGTCCCTGAAGAAGAGGAAAGCCCCTGGACTTGATGGGATCATGGCGGAACTGATTCAGCATGCATCCTCAGTTTGTGTTCTATTCCTACATAAACTTTGTTTGGAGATTTGGAAAACAGGGATATGGCCAAAAGCGTGGAAACGTCAAGAAATCGTCATGCTACCCAAAGCTGGATCAGCTAAGGAGTGTTCCAACTATCGGACCATTGCTTTGATGTCACATGCAAGCAAGATCCTTCTGACAATAATCTTGAATCGTATGAAAAAGAAGATAGAGGCTGAGTTACCAGATGAGCAGGCTGGTTTTCGAGCTGGTCGCAGTACTGTAGATATGCTCTGTGTTATGCAAATCATTATCGAAAAATCTCTTGAATGGCAGAATCCTATATCCATTGTATTTATCGATTAGCCTTTGAAACAGTTAACCACTTACATCTTTTCGGTTGCCTTTTGGATTTTGGTTCCCTCACCATAATTATAATTCTTTTGCTCCAGAATCTTTACACAGAGATGAGCGGAGTTATCAGATGGAATGGCTCGCATTCGCTAGAGTTTGCCATCAAGAAGGGTGTTCGGCAGGGCTGTATTTTGTCCCCACATCTAATTAGCCTGTATACTGAGAGTGTTATGCGTGTTGCTGATGTGGACAGTATCGGTGTGAGAATCGGAGGACGCCAGCTGTCGAACCTACAATATGCAGATGACACGGGATTGTGTGCACATCCATCAGAAGTGTCTACCCTCACCAATGCTGCTAATGACGCTGGAAGAGAGAAGAGCCTGTCACTGAATCTGTCCAAAACCAAGATTATGCATATCGGAACCTGTACTGCTGGTGCAAACGATACTGCTCCAACGCCACTTGTGGTCGATGGAGAACAAATTGCAGAGGTGAGCAGTTTCAAGTATCTGGGATCTTGGAAGACAATGAACGGTGATTGCAGCCTCGATATTCGGTCAAGAATTGCCATGGCAAAAGAGCGTATGCTGCAGTTAGTTGACATCTGGAAAGACCACAACATCTCCAGACAGCTGAAAATCCGGATAATGCATGCCCTTGTGTGGTCTGTCCTGCTGTATGGAGCTGAGAGTTGGACTCTCCGGAAGACAGATGAACGACGAATACAGGCAGCAGAAATATGGTGCTACCGACGTCTGCTCAGAGTATCCTGGATGGAGAAGCGCACAAATGAAAGTATCCTGGTGGAGTTGAGAGTACAGAGACAGCTGCTAGCCAGGGTCAAGATATGCAAACTGACCTATTTCGGGCACATATGCCGCCCATCTGGCTGCGAGCTTGTACGTGACGTGATGTTTGGTGTCGTGGATGGTAAGAGAAAGCGTGGTCGTGGTGACTTTTTCCATACAAATCCCTATCTAGTAGGGCGCAGTCACCCAGTTTCGGTGGAGGTGGGTGAGGTCGATTGGGAATAAAGGAGGAAGGGAGCGTCTCAGCTTCCTCAGACCAAGACCATTCGACTCAGCACCCCGAAGACTACAGCTGGTGAAAATTTGATTTTAGGGTATACAGTAAAACCTGTAACTAACGACCACCCCTTGGTGCCCGGAAAAGTGGTCGTTAGTGACAGGTGGTCTTTAGTTAGAGGTTTGCACCGCGCGACCATATATGGATCCCATTATATGATATGTATGTCAAAATGCAGATAATACAATCCCCCACCACTTGCGCACTGACATTCTTCTTTCAGATCATTCAACACTTGGAGAGAGAGAAATCAAGTTTTTTATACACCGGAAGCGAAACGACCTTTTGACACGTATGTCGACTCACAGGTTTTCCAGAGCAGCGCTGGCCTGGCCAGGCAGTGGACTAGTCACTATCGACTCCATCCTCATCTGTGTACGACTACACTGGCAACTGGTATCAGTGTGTAGATCTACAGTGGAAACTCAGTCGCTCCGACTTGGATGTAGTGTAGCGTAAACTGTACTGGTGTGTACCAGCACGTGATGCGGCGATGTTGCGAGTTTTCGCACCTTCACTGTAGACTATTATCCGCCATCGTATCCTGGCCTGTGTTCCGTACAGGTGAGTACCGTAGCATGTGAGCTAGCCAGCACAGACTGTCAGTGTGACCTGGTGACTCAGCTATGTGATTGCACTTCGACAGAGAGCCGCTCCGTCTTAGTTTCTCCTTCGAGTAGTAACATCGATCAAAGAGCGCTTTGGATGCGCTCTCCAAGACGTTTCCTTTCATGTTTGTTCTTGACAGCACTTGAAATTATGACAGGTGTAGTGCAGTCCACACTGATTCCACAGTAAAAATGAGACTGCGCTCATTTGTCCAGCTGTAGTATCGAAACGACCATGGAAAATCATCAAAATTTCGAGAAGGAGCTTCAAGCAATGTTTGATTTGCTACATCGCGGTCGCTAGCTACGGGTCAAAATTCGACATTGGGACAAGAAAAGGCGGTCGCTGGTCGCTGGTCGCGTTCAGCAGGTAGTCGCTAGTCACAGTGCATTTTGAATGTGAGACCGTCCGTGCCTGACAAAGTGGTCTGTAGTACCAGGCCGGTCGCTAGTCACGGTGGTCGTTAGTTACAGGTTTTACTGTACTTCCCCTTTAAGACGAAATCCATGTTTGTTTCAGCCCTATAACACTTCGCATACATACTCATTCTTCCAAGTAGCTTCACGTTATGATCTTGCATTTGACAGCCCTCTTTGAATATTGTGGCCAGCTGCCTTTGCTGGTACGGTATGGTACGGGACAGGTACGGGATAGCGCCAGGCATGCCGACGGCACAACCAAACAAACAAACACCAAATTAAAGCTGTGTGGACCCTGGCTAGCGCAAGACGTTACTGAAGTATCGTCTTCTGCATAGCTACGGGAATAAAACTAATTGTGCACTCATATCCCTGTATAAAACAATTATTAAAATGAAAATTCCAGAACGTTTTCCGTTGACTACAAACCTGAAAGAGTCAGGTCTAAAACTGTAATCTGTCCGAATGTCCCTAGCACGACGGCCATACTTACAATGCCTCGAGGTGGCAGGTACCACCAGTAATAAGTTGGCTTGGGAGGGTTGTGATGTTGTTGTTGCCAAGGTTTCTACACAAACAGAAAGACATGCACACACACAAACATACGCACACATGCATACACATGCACATGCACCCACGCACGCACGCACGCACGCACGCACGCACGCACGCACGCACGCACGCACGCACGCACGCACGCACGCACGCACGCACGCACGCACGCACGCACGCACGCACGCACGCACGCACGCACGCACGCACGCACGCACGCACGCACGCACGCACGCACGCACGCACGCACGCACGCACGCACGCACGCACGCACGCACGCACGCACGCACGCACGCACGCACGCACGCACGCACGCACGCACGCACGCACGCACGCACGCACGCACGCACGCACGCACGCACGCACGCACGCACGCACGCACGCACGCACGCACGCACGCACGCACGCACGCACGCACGCACGCACGCACGCACGCACGCACGCACGCACGCACGCACGCACGCACGCACGCACGCACGCACGCACGCACGCACGCACGCACGCACGCACGCACGCACGCACGCACGCACGCACGCACGCACGCACGCACGCACGCACGCACGCACGCACGCACGCACGCACGCACGCACGCACGCACGCACGCACGCACGCACGCACGCACGCACACACACACACACACACACACACACACACACACACACACACACACACACACACACACACACACACACACACACACACACACACACACACACACACACACACACACACACACACACACACACACACACACACACACACACACACACACACACACACACACACACACACACACACACACACACACACACACACACACACACACACACACACACACACACACACACACACCTTTGACCTTTGACGCCCATCGCCGGAGGCGATGATAGCAATGCTACGGCAGAAGCCATAGCAACTTGTGCTGGGATTACACCATTCAACAGCTTGCAAGGCTGAAGAATTGACCGTCACTATTCAGCCTGGTCTACACCATACAGCTATTTGGAGTGACATTTTCTGGCCAGTGAATCCCTTTTTTGGTCTTTTTCATTTTTCATTTTTTTTTTTTTTTTTTCCCGCACACACATCACACCACATACTCCGGCATGCACTGGCTGTTGGTAACCACCCAGGAGAATGAAAGAAAAGCCAGGAAGAGTCTGAGAAAGAGAAGAAAGACACACACACACACACACACACACACACACACACACACACACACACACACACACACACACACACACACACACACACACACACACACACACACACACACACAACACACACACACACACACACACACACACACACACACACACTTGTACTTGTACTTGTACTTGCTCACTGCCAAAACTGGTCACGTGGGTCTCCCCGGGAGAGGGGAGAGAGACTCAAAAGGAATCTTGGAAAGATGACTCAATTGGCCATTGAACCACCCAACGGCCGACACCCCTGAAATCCCCAAACTAGGGTGGATTTGAAATGATCCCACTTATGGGCTCACCACACCTCAGTAAGTGGGTGAGGACAAGGTGCAGAAAAAGGATTGGCGGCATCAGGGTATCCGTCCCGGGATCCAACTGCAGGTACCCCTGCCCCCACACACACACACACACACACACACACACACACACACACACACACACACACACACACACACACACACACACACACACACACACACACACACACACACACACACACACACACACACACACACACACACACACACACACACACACACACACACACACACACACACACACACACACACACACACACACACACACACACACACACACACACACACACACACACACACACACACACACACACACACACACACACACACACACACACACACACACACACACACACACACACACACACACACACACACACACACACACACACACACACACACACACACACACACACACACACACACACACACACACACACACACACACACACACACACACACACACACACACACACACACACACACACACACACACACACACACACACACACACACACACACACACACACACACACACACACACACACACACACACACACACACACACACACACACACACACACACACACACACACACACACACACACACACACACACACACACACACACACACACACACACACACACACACACACACACACACACACACACACACACACACACACACACACACACACACACACACACACACACACACACACACACACACACACACACACACACACACACACACACACACACACACACACACACACACACACACACACACACACACACACACACACACACACACACACACACACACACACACACACACACACACACACACACACACACACACACACACACACACACACACACACACACACACACACACACACACACACACACACACACACACACACACACACACACACACACACACACACACACACACACACACACACACACACACACACACACACACACACACACACACACACACACACACACACACACACACACACACACACACACACACACACACACACACACACACACACACACACACACACACACACACACACACACACACACACACACACACACACACACACACACACACACACCTTTGACCTTTGACGCCCATCGCCGGAGGCGATGATAGCAATGCTACGGCAGAAGCCATAGCAACTTGTGCTGGGATTACACCATTCAACAGCTTGCAAGGCTGAAGAATTGACCGTCACTATTCAGCCTGGTCTACACCATACAGCTATTTGGAGTGACATTTTCTGGCCAGTGAATCCCTTTTTTGGTCTTTTTCATTTTTCATTTTTTTTTTTTTTTTCCCGCACACACATCACACCACATACTCCGGCATGCACTGGCTGTTGGTAACCACCCAGGAGAATGAAAGAAAAGCCAGGAAGAGTCTGAGAAAGAGAAGAAAGACACACACACACACACACACACACACACACACACACACACACACACACACACACACACACACACACACACACACACACACACACACACACACACACACACACACACACACACACACACACACACACACACACACACACACACACACACACACACACACACACACACACACACACACACACACACACACACACACACACACACACACACACACACACACACACACACACACACACACACACACACACACACACACACACACACACACACACACACACACACACACACACACACACACACACACACACACACACACACACACACACACACACACACACACACACACACACACACACACACACACACACACACACACACACACACACACACACACACACACACACACACACACACACACACACACACACACACACACACACACACACACACACACACACACACACACACACACACACACACACACACACACACACACACACACACACACACACACACACACACACACACACACACACACACACACACACACACACACACACACACACACACACACACACACACACACACACACACACACACACACACACACACACACACACACACACACACACACACACACACACACACACACACACACACACACACACACACACACACACACACACACACACACACACACACACACACACACACACACACACACACACACACACACACACACACACACACACACACACACACACACACACACACACACACACACACACACACACACACACACACACACACACACACACACACACACACACACACACACACACACACACACACACACACACACACACACACACACACACACACACACACACACACACACACACACACACACACACACACACACACACACACACACACACACACACACACACACACACACACACACACACACACACACACACACACACACACACACACACACACACACACACACACACACACACACACACACACACACACACACACACACACACACACACACACACACACACACACACACACACACACACACACACACACACACACACACACACACACACACACACACACACACACACACACACACACACACACACACACACACACACCTTTGACCTTTGACGCCCATCGCCGGAGGCGATGATAGCAATGCTACGGCAGAAGCCATAGCAACTTGTGCTGGGATTACACCATTCAACAGCTTGCAAGGCTGAAGAATTGACCGTCACTATTCAGCCTGGTCTACACCATACAGCTATTTGGAGTGACATTTTCTGGCCAGTGAATCCCTTTTTTGGTCTTTTTCATTTTTCATTTTTTTTTTTTTTTTTCCCGCACACACATCACACCACATACTCCGGCATGCACTGGCTGTTGGTAACCACCCAGGAGAATGAAAGAAAAGCCAGGAAGAGTCTGAGAAAGAGAAGAAAGACACACACACACACACACACACACACACACACACACACACACACACACACACACACACACACACACACACACACACACACACACACACACACACACACACACACACACACACACACACACACACACACACACACACACACACACACACACACACACACACACACACACACACACACACACACACACACACACACACACACACACACACACACACACACACACACACACACACACACACACACACACACACACACACACACACACACACACACACACACACACACACACACACACACACACACACACACACACACACACACACACACACACACACACACACACACACACACACACACACACACACACACACACACACACACACACACACACACACACACACACACACACACACACACACACACACACACACACACACACACACACACACACACACACACACACACACACACACACACACACACACACACACACACACACACACACACACACACACACACACACACACACACACACACACACACACACACACACACACACACACACACACACACACACACACACACACACACACACACACACACACACACACACACACACACACACACACACACACACACACACACACACACACACACACACACACACACACACACACACACACACACACACACACACACACACACACACACACACACACACACACACACACACACACACACACACACACACACACACACACACACACACACACACACACACACACACACACACACACACACACACACACACACACACACACACACACACACACACACACACACACACACACACACACACACACACACACACACACACACACACACACACACACACACACACACACACACACACACACACACACACACACACACACACACACACACACACACACACACACACACACACACACACACACACACACACACACACACACACACACACACACACACACACACACACACACACACACACACACACCTTGACCTTGATACACGTTGCCTTGATACGTTACACGGTCCCCGTCAGGGGAGAGGGGTGGAAGAGGCTGAGGAGCAGCACTTCTGATGGCGCACTAGATGGTGACGTAGTCGGAACTTCCTTTGGCAAGGGCACTCAAACGGGAAGTCGGCCCTTTCCGACACTGTCCTTCGTTTCGTGCGGTCACACTTGTGTCTGGCCAAGCCGCTGCTGGACTTGAAACTCCGGTGGCAGGTGCTGCACTGCGGAGTGACCGGGTTGCCGGGGTGCTTGATGTTGGGAGCAGGTCCGTGATCGCACCGATGGGTAGCCAATCAACCGGGGCTGCGGAACCAACGTTGGCAGAGACGACATTGGCAAGCGCCAGCCTGATTGCACACTGGTTTCTGTCGTTCTGCCAAGCATTTGTGATGCATCTCATCTGATGGGCGAGAGAAGTACCGATCACATACTTGGCAATGGACATTGGGTGTGGGCGGTTCGGGCTCGAAACAGCGGTACATGCGGCGCCAGTCGGGGCGAGAATCTGCCAGATCGCACCATCCCTCCACAGCATTCAGGGCCTTCAGGTCTGCACTAATGCAGTCCTTCCAGCGTTTGCGTGGACCGCCAGGTGGACGGCGGGATGGGAGCAGACCGAACAACAGAATCGTCGGGATGCGCTCTGGTGGCATGCGAGCAACATGACCCAGCCACTCAAGTCGTCGCTGGCGAATCTGGACAGCAAGTGGGCGCTTGTCTCCCCACATTTCCAGCAACTGATCATTGCTGATCCGCTCTTGCCAGGCGTCTAACCTTGTTCTGCCAAGAACGGTACGCAGACACTGCATGTAGAACGTGGAGAGCCTCCGGATGTCGGCTTGGAGGGGTACCCAGCACTCAGCTCCGTACAGCAGAATGGTGACAACGCACGCATTGAAGATATTCTTCTTGGTGCGGATGGACAGATGGTGGTTGTTGAAAACTGGCTTCCGCAGGGAGCCAAACGCACGGGAGGCAGCCGCAATTCTGGAGGAGATGTCAATCGAACACCGGCCAGACGTATCGATGATCGATCCAAGGTAGCGAAACTCCGTTACGCACTCGATCTGGTTCGAACCCACACAAACAGGGGCGAGGTCCGCATCAGAAATGTCTCTGCCGATCACCATGAACTTGGTCTTGGAGAGACTAATTGTCAGTCCAAACTCGGAGGCGACTTCATCGAATGTCACTGCAGCTCGCTCGAGCCCGGATCGAGATGTCGCAAACAGTGTGGAATCATCCGCAAACTGGCATTCAGTTACCGTGTCTGACACTGCTGTGCGACGAGGCTTCTGCATTAGCTGACCATTGATGTTGTAGCGGATATCGACACCGAAGCCATCCACGCCTTCCATCCGCTGCTTCCAGGTATGAAAGACAGCAGCCATGTACAGGTTGAAAAGGACCGGTGCCATGGAGCAGCCCTGGCGCAGGCCATTCTGTACCTCTAGCAGGTCCAACAGCCGACCATCAATGCGTACACACACACACACACACACACACACACACACACACACACACACACACACACACACACACACACATACGCACACACACCTTGAAACTGCCACCTAGAGGTGATGCAGTGCCTCAAAGAGGCAAGGAGGGCAGAGTTACTTCTTCCATTTGTGTTGAGCCAGGTACTGGAGACGTGTGAACTTCCGAGAGCAGGTCGCGCATGGGATGGTACGGCGCTCGAAGCCACAGCTGCATGTTCTGCGGTTGCAGTTGTGCCGACGGTACCCAGCTTTGCTCCGGCAATCAGGTGGGCGAGGTGCAACTATATCTGGAACTGGAGCATCACCAAGGCTGGGAGAGCAGCTGTGCACAGCAAATCCACCTCGGGTGGCAAACCAACGATGGCACGTTTCGCACAACACAGCACCGGCCTGTCATGGATCGGCTTCAGTCACT